GGGCCAGCCACAGCTTCTCCGGGAATTCCAGCCCAGCCCCTCCCCACCCTCCCAGCCGGGAATCCCTTCCCAATTTCCCCCCCAAATCCCCCCTTTCCCACTGGGATCCCTTCCCTGTGTCCCATTCCCGGGATCCCTCATTCCCGCAGGTCCGGAACGAGTTCTACAAGGACACCCAGGGCGTCCTCCTGGTCTACGACGTGGGATCCAAGGAATCCTTCGACTCCCTGGATTCCTGGCTGGCCGAGATGAAGCAGGAGCTGGGACCCCACGGGAACATGGAAAACGTCGTCTTCGTCGTCTGCGCCAACAAGGTGGGAATTCCGGAGCTTCCCGGCGTTCCCGGCGGGAGCTCCGGCGCGTGGGAAGGGCGGGAAGCGGGGCCGGGTTGAAGGGAGGGTGTTCTGGGAGAGGGGGGTGAGGGATAACAGGGATTTGGGAATGTTTGTGAGGGAAAACAGGGATTTTGGAAAAGTTTATGAGGAACGAGGGGGATTTGGGAATGTGGTTTGTAGGGAATTCATTCCAGGAGAAGTGTGTGAGGAACAAGGGGGATTTTGGGAATGTTTGTGAGGGGAAACAGGGTTTTGGGAATGTTTAGTGAGGGACAAGAGAGATTTGGGAATGTTTGTGAGGGAGAAGAGGGATTTGGGAATGTGGTTTGTAGGGAATTCATTCCAAGAAAAGTGTGTGAGGAACAAGAGGGATTTGGGAATGGTTGTGAGGAACAAGAGGGATTTTGGGAATGTTTGTGAGGCAAAATAGGGATTTGGGAATGTTTGTGAGGAAAAAGGGGGATTTGGGAATGTTTGTGAGGAAAAACGGGGATTTGGGAATGTTGGTGTGGAACCACAATGATTTGGGAATGTTTGTGAGGGAAAGGAGGGATTTGGGAATGTTTGTGAGGAACAAGAGGGATTTTGGGAAAGTTTGTGAGGGAAAACAGGGATTTGGGAATGTTTGTGAGGGAAAACAGGGATTTGGGAATGTTTGTGAGGGAAAACAAAGATTTGGGAATGTTTGTGAGGAACAAGAGGGATTTTGGGAATGTTTTTGAGGAACAAAAGGGATTTTGGGAATGTTTGTGAGGAACAAGAGGGATTTGGGAATGTTTGTGAGGAAAAAGGGGGATTTGGGAATGTTTGTGAGGAAAAAGGGGGATTTTGGGAATGTTTGTGAGGAAAGACGGGGATTTGGGAATGTTTGTGAGGGAAAACAGGGATTTGGGAATGTTGGTGTGGAACCACAATGATTTGGGAATGTTTGTGAGGGAAAGGAGGGATTTGGGAATGTTTGTGAGGGACAACAAGGATTTGGGAATGTTTGTGAGGAAAAACAGGGATTTGGGAATGTTTGTGAGGAACAAGAAGGATTTGGGAATGTTTGTGAGGGAAGACAGGGAATTTGGGAATGTTTGTGAGGGAAAACAGGGATTTGGGAATGTTTGTGAGGGACAAGAGGAATTTGGGAATGTTTGTGAGGGACAAGAGGAATTTGGGAATGTTTGTGAGGAACAAGAGGGATTTGGGAATGTTTGTGAGGAACAAGAGGGATTTGGGAATGTTTGTGAGGGAAAACAGGGATTTGGGAATGTTTGTGAGGAACAAGGGGGATTTGGGAATGTTTGTGAGAAGCAAAAGGAATTTGGGAATGTTTGTGAGAGAAAACAGGGATTTGGGAATGTTTGTGAGGAACAAGAGGGATTTGGGAATGTTTGTGAGGAACGAGAGGTATTTTGGGAATGTTTGTGTGGAACAAGAGGGATTTTGGGAATGTTTGTGAGGAACAAGAGGGATTTGGGAATGTTTGTGAGGGAAAACGGATTTGGGAATGTTTGTGTGGAACAAGAGGGATTTGGGAATGTTTGTGAGGGACAAGAGGGATTTTGGGAATATGGTTTGTAGGGAATTAATTCTAAGAAAAGTGTGTGAGGGAAAATACGGATTTGGGAATGTTTGTGAGGGAAAACAGGGATTTGGGAATGTTTGTGAGCAACAGGGATTTGGGAATGTTTGTGAGGAAAAAGGGGGATTTGGGAATGTTTGTGAGGAAAAACGGGGATTTGGGAATGTTGGTGTGGAACCACAATGATTTGGGAATGTTTGTGAGGGAAAGGAGGGATTTGGGAATGTTTGTGAGGAACAAGAGGGATTTGGGAATGTTTGTGAGGGACAAGAGGAATTTGGGAATGTTTGTGAGGGACAAGAGGGATTGTGGGAATGTTTGTGAGGGAAAAACAGGGATTTGGGAATGTTTGTGAGAAGCAAAAGGAATTTGGGAATGTTTGTGAGAGAAAACAGGGATTTGGGAATGTTTGTGAGGAACAAGAGGGATTTGGGAATGTTTGTGAGGATCAACAGGGATTTGGGAATGTTTGAGAGGAAAAACAGAGATTTGGAATGTTTGTGAGGAAAACAGGGATTTGGGAATGTGGTTTGTAGGGAATTCATTCCAGGAGAAGTGTGTGAGGAACAAGGGGAATTTTGGGAATGTTTGTGAGGGAAAACCGGGATTTGGGAATGTTTGTGAGGAACAAGAGGGATTTGGGAATGTTTGTGAGGGAAAACAGGGATTTGGGAATGTTTGTGAGGAAAAATAAGGATTTTGGGAATGTTTGTGAGGGACAAGAGGGATTTTGGGAATGTTTGTGAGGAACAAAAGGGGTTTTGGGAATGTTTGTGAGGGACAAGACGGATTTGGGAATGTTTGTGAGGAAGAAGAGGGATTTTGGGAATGTTTGTGAGGGAAAACAGGAATTTGGAAATGTTTGGGAGGAACAAGAGGGATTTGGGAATGTTTAGTGAGGAACAAGAAGGATTTGGGAATGTGTATGAGGGAAGACAGGGAATTTGGGAATGTTTGTGAGGAACAAGAGGGATTTGGGAATGTTTGTGAGGAAAAAGGGGGATTTGGGAATGTTTGTGAGGAAAAAGGGGGATTTTGGGAATGTTTGTGAGGGAAAACAGGGATTTGGGAATGTTGGTGTGGAACCACAATGATTTGGGAATGTTTGTGAGGGAAAGGAGGGATTTGGGAATGTTTGTGAGGGACAACAAGGATTTGGGAATGTTTGTGAGGAAAAACAGGGATTTGGGAATGTTTGTGAGGAACAAGAAGGATTTGGGAATGTTTGTGAGGGAAGACAGGGAATTTGGGAATGTTTGTGAGGGAAAACAGGGATTTGGGAATGTTTGTGAGGGACAAGAGGAATTTGGGAATGTTTGTGAGGGACAAGAGGAATTTGGGAATGTTTGTGAGGAACAAGAGGGATTTGGGAATGTTTGTGAGGAACAAGAGGGATTTGGGAATGTTTGTGAGGGAAAAACAGGGATTTGGGAATGTTTGTGAGGAACAAGGGGGATTTGGGAATGTTTGTGAGAAGCAAAAGGAATTTGGGAATGTTTGTGAGAGAAAACAGGGATTTGGGAATGTTTGTGAGGAACAAGAGGGATTTTGGGAATGTTTGTGAGGAACAAGAGGGATTTTGGGAATGTTTGTGTGGAACAAGAGGGATTTTGGGAATGTTTGTGAGGAACAAGAGGGATTTGGGAATGTTTGTGAGGGAAAACGGATTTGGGAATGTTTGTGTGGAACAAGAGGGATTTGGGAATGTTTGTGAGGAAAAAGGGGGATTTTGGGAATGTTTGTGAGGAAAGACGGGGATTTGGGAATGTTTGTGAGGGAAAACAGGGATTTGGGAATGTTGGTGTGGAACCACAATGATTTTGGAATGTTTGTGAGGGAAAGGAGGGATTTGGGGAATGTTTGTGAGCGACAAGAGGGATTTGGGAATGTTTGTGAGGGAAAACAGGGATTTGGGAATGTTTGTGAGGAACAAAAGGGATTTTGGGAATATGGTTTGTAGGGAATTCATTCCAGGAGAAGTGTGTGAGGAACAAGGGGAATTTTGGGAATGTTTGTAAGGAACAACAATGATTTGGGAATGTTTTTGAGGAATAAGAGGGATGTGGGAATGTTTGTGAGGAACGAGGGGGATTTGGGAATGTGGTTTTCGGGAATTCATTCCAGGAGAAGTGTGTGAGAAACAAGGAGGATTTTGGGAATGTTAGTGAGGGAAAACAGGGATTTTGGGATTGTTTGTGAGGGACAAGAGGGATTTGGGAATGTTTGTGAGGAAAAACAGGGATTTGGGAATGTTTGAGAGGAAAAACAGAGATTTGGGAATGTTTGCGAGGAACAAGAGGGATTTTGGGAATGTTTGCGAGGAACAAGAGGGATTTTGGGAATGTTTGTGAGGAAAAACAGGGATTTGGGAATGTTTGTGAAGAACAAGAAGGGTTTGGGAATGTTTGTGAGGGAAAACAGGGATTTGGGAATGTTTGTGAGAAGTAAGAGGGATTTGGGAATGTTTGTGAGGAACAAGAGGGATTTTGGGAATGTGTGTGAGGAAAAAGAGGGATTTGGGAATGTTTATGAGGAACAAGAGAGATTTGGGAATATGGTTTGTAGGGAATTCATTCCAGGAGAAGTGTGTGAGGAACAAGGGGAATTTTGGGAATGTTTGTGAGGAACAAGAGGGATTTTGGGAATGTTTGTGAGGAATGAGAAGGATTTGGGAATGTGTATGAGGGAAAACAGGGATTTTGGGAATGTTTGTGAGGGAAAACAGGGATTTGGGAATGTTTGTGAGGAACAAAAGGGATTTTGGGAATGTTTGTGAGGAACAAGAGGGATTTTGGGAATGTTTGTGAGGGAAAGTGGGATTTGGGAATGTTTGTGAGGAACAAGAGGGATTTTGGGAATGTTTGTGAGGAACAACAGGGATTTGGGAATGTCTGAGGAACAAGAGGGATTTTGGAATGTTTGTGAGGAACAACAGGGATTTGGGAATGTTTGTGAGGAAAAACAAGGATTTGGGAATGTTTGTGAGGGAAAACAGAGATTTGGGAATGTTTGTGAGGAACAAGAGGGATTTTGGGAATATGGTTTGTAGGGAATTAATTCTAAGAAAAGTGTGTGAGGGAAAACAGGGATTTGGGAATGTTTGTGAGGGAAAACAGGGATTTGGGAATGTTTGTGAGCAACAGGGATTTGGGAATGTTTGTGAGGAACAAGAGGGATTTGGGAATGTTTGTGAGGGACAAGAGGGATTTGGGAATGTTTGTGAGGAACAAGATGAATTTTGGGAATGTTTGTGAGGAAAAACAGGGATTTTGGGAATATTTGTGAGGAATAAGAGGGATTTGGGAATGTTTGTGAGGAATAAGAGGGATTTGGGAATGTTTGTGAGGAAAAACAGGGATTTGGGAATGTTTATGAGGAATAAGAGGGATTTGGGAATGTTTGTGAGGAACAAGATGAATTTTGGGAATGTTTGTGAGGAACAAGATGAATTTTGGGAATGTTTGTGAGGAACAAGATGAATTTTGGGAATGTTTGTGAGGAACAAGATGAATTTTGGGAATGTTTGTGAGGAACAAGAGGGATTTGGGAATGTTTGTGAGGAACAAGATGAATTTTGGGAATGTTTGTGAGGAACAAGATGAATTTTGGGAATGTTTGTGAGGAATAAGAGGGATTTGGGAATGTTTGTGAGGAACAAGATGAATTTTGGGAATGTTTGTGAGGGAAAACAAGAGGATTCCTTGCCCGGAGCCGCGTTTCCCAGGGGTTTTTCCCGGGCCCCAGGTGGACTCGGGGAAGCTGCGGAGCGTGGACGAGAGCGAGGGCCGGCTCTGGGCCGAGAGCCGCGGGTTCCTCTACTTCGAGACCTCGGCACAGACCGGAGAGGGCATCTCCGAGATGTTCCAGGTGGGAGAGCGGGAATGGGAATGGGAATGGGAATGGGAATGGGAATGGGAATGGCCTGGAGAGCAGGGAATAGCTGGTGGTCCTCATCCAGAGGGTGGAACAGCTCCAAAGGGAATGGTGATGGATCCAAGGAGCTGGACAAGCTTGGATATCAGGGAATAGGGAATATTCCTCATCCAGAGGTGTTGGAGCAGCTCCAAAGGGAATGGTGATGGATCCAAGGAGCTGGAATAGCCAATATTCCTCATCCAGAGGTGTTGGAGCAGCTCCAGAGGGAATGGTGATGGATCCAAGGAGCTGGACAAGCTTGGATATCAGGGAATAGGGAATATTCCTCATCCAGAGGGGGTGGAACAGCTCCAGAGGGAATGGCCATGGATCCAAGGAGCTGGACAAGCTTGGATATCAGGGAATAGGGAATATCCCTCATCCAGAGGTGTTGGATCAGATCCAAAGGGAATGGTGATGGATCCAAGGAGCTGGAATAGCCAATATTCCTCATCCAGAGGTGTTGGAGCAGCTCCAGAGGGAATGGCCATGGATCCAAGGAGCTGGACAAGCTTGGATATCAGGGAATAGGGAATATTCCTCATCCAGAGGTGTTGGAGCAGCTCCAAAGGGAATGGTGATGGATCCAAGGAGTTGGAATAGCCAATATTCCTCATCCAGAGGGTGGTTATGGATCCAGAGGGTGGCCATGAGGAGGATGAGCTTGGATATCAGGGAATAGGGAATATTCCTCATCCAGAGGCGTTGGAGCAGCTCCAAAGGGAATGGCCATGGATCCAAGGAGCTGGAATAGCCAATATTCCTCATCCAGAGGGTGGAACAGCTCCAGAGGGAATGGCCATGGATCCAAGGAGCTGGACAAGCTTGGATATCAGGGAATAGGGAATATTCCTCATCCAGAGGTGTTGGAGCAGCTCCAAAGGGAATGGTCATGGATCCAAGGAGCTGGAATAGTCAATATTCCTCATCCTGAGGTGTTGGAGCAGCTCCAGAGGGAATGGTGATGGATCCAAGGAGCTGGACAAGCTTGGATATCAGGGAATAGGGAATATTCCTCATCCAGAGGGGGTGGAACAGCTCCAAAGGGAATGGTGATGGATCCAAGGAGCTGGAATAGGGAATATTCCTCATCCAGAGGCGTTGGAAGAGCTCCAGAGGGAATGGCCATGGATCCAAGGAGCTGGACAAGCTTGGATATCAGGGAATAGGGAATATTCCTCATCCAGAGGGGGTGGATCAGATCCAAAGGGAATGGTGATGGATCCAAGGAGCTGGAATAGGGAATATTCCTCATCCAGAGGGTGGAGCAGCTCCAAAGGGGATGGTGATGGATCCAAGGAGCTGTACAAGGTTGGATATCAGGGAATAGGGAATATTCCTCATCCTGAGGTGTTGGATCAGATCCAAAGGGAATGGTCATGGATCCAAGGCCGCCGGAGCTCAGGGAGTGTTTGGGAATGTTGGGAATGCTGGGAATGTTGGGATGTCTGGGCAGGGCCAGGGGTGGAACTCCGGGATCCTTGTGGGTCCTTCCAGCTCTGGAGATTCCAGAATTCCAGGGGTTGAACTGGACATTCCCTAATCCCCGGGGTTGAACTGGATATTCCCTAATTCCAAGGCTTCAACTGGACATTCCCTAATTCCAGGGGTTGAACTGGATATTCCCTGATCCCAATGGTTGAACTGGACATTCCCTAATCCCAGGGGTTGAACTGGACATTCCCTAATCCCCGGGGTCGAACTGTATATTCCCTAATTCCCAAACTTGAACTGGACATTCCCTAATCCCAGGGATTGAACCAGATATTCCCTACTTCCAAGGCTTCAACTGGACATTCCCTAATTCCAAAACTTGAACTGGACATTCCCTAATCCCAGAGGTTGAACTGGACATTCCCAAATCCCAAACCTCGCCCCTGGAAGATCCTCCCACCTCCCACCATTCCCTAAATCCCGAGGTTTGCCCTGGACGATCCTTCCCCGCTCCCACATCCCCCAATTCCCCGACCCCGAAGGGACCCGAGGGATCCTTTGGGATCCCTTCCCGGTATCCAGGATCCATAATTCCCAGGATCCATAATTCCCAGGATCCAGAATTCCCAGGATCCACAATTCCCAGGATCCACAATTCCCTGCCTCCGTAGACTTTCTACTCGGCCATCGTCGACCTGTGCGACAACGGCGGGAAGCGCCCGAATTCCGGCGCCGGCATCGGCTTCACCCGGGAACAGGCGGATGCCATCCGGAGGATCCGGAACAGCAAGGACAGCTGGGACATGCTGGGAGTCAAACCCGGAGCCACCAGGTGAGGGAAAGCCGGGAATTCCTTGGGAATGGTTGGGAATATCCATCCCGGCCTGGTGATGCTGAGAGGGAATGGCGGATGTGGGATCCTTAGGGATGGGTGAGGTTGGAAAATCCCGGTGGGATCATGGAGTTCAAGCATTCCCAGCACTGCCGAGGCCACCCTGGATCCGTGTCCCCAAGGGCCACATCCACAGGGATTGGAGATCCCTCCGGGAATGGCGACTCCAGCCCTGCCCTGGGAAGTTCATTCCAGTGCCTGACAGCCCTTTCCATGTGGGAATTGTTCCCAATATCCCACCTGCCCCTCCCCTGGCCCAGCTGGAGGTCGTTCCCTCTCCTCCTGTCCCTCGTTCCCTGGGAATTGGGGACCTCCTGGAACTTCCTTCCAGGGAATTTTGGAGAGCTGGGACAGTCCCATAGGATGGCACAGGATCCTGGGAATGCTGGGAATGCTGGCTCTGCCCGCGCTCTCCGGAGATTCCCGAATTCCAGGTGTAGCCTTTGTGGGCACGGCCCCCGTCCCGTGTGGTTCGTGCAATTGAATTTATTAATTTCTTAATTTATTAATTAATATCAAATCCTTAAGAACAGCGAGAGCTTAGATGGCCAATTCAAACCGTGAGACGTCGTAAACACGTGACCTCCTCAACCAATCGCATTTGAGCACTTGACTGAGCACGCGCGACAGAGTCCGGAAACAGTCCGGAAGTACTACAGCGCCCAGAATGCCTTGCGGCACTTCCGGTCTTAGGCATTGCTAAACCGGAAGTGGAACTCCGTGAGCCTCGCGGGTTATTCCGGCTCGGGAGATTCCAGAATTCCAGGGTTTTTTCTGGATATTCCCTAATCCCTCCCGTCCCGTTCCCTAGGGATGAGGAGAACAGGGCGTAGCGGAAGCTGGGAATGCTGGCTTTGCCCGCGCTCTCGGGAGATTCCCGAATTCCAGGTGTAGCCTTTGTGGGCACGGCCCCCGTCCCGTGTGGTTCGTGCAACTGAATTTATTAATTTCTTAATTTGTTAATTAATATCAAATCATTAAGAACAGCGAGAGCTTAGATGGCCAATTCAAACCGTGAGACGTCGTAAACACGTGACCTCCTCAACCAATCCCATTCGAGCACTTTACTGAGCACGCGCCACAGAGTCCGGAAGAACCACAATGCCCAGGATGCCTTGCGTCACTTCCGGTCTCAGACCTCGCTAAACCGGAAGTTGGACTCCGTGAGCCTGGAGGGTCTTTCCGGCTCGAGAGATTCCAAAATTCCAGGGTTTACGCTGGATATTCCCTAATCCTTCCTGTCCCGTTCCCCAGGGATGAGGTGAACAGGGCGTAGCGGAAGCTGAGAATGCTGGCTCTGCCCGCGCTCTCGGGAGATTCCCGAATTCCGGGTGTAGCCTTTGTGGGCACGGCCCCCGTCTCGTGCGGTTCGTGCAACTGAATTAATTTATTTATGAATTTTTAAATTAATTAGAATCAAATTTGTTAAGAACAGCGAGAGCTTAGATGGCCAATTCAAACCGTGAGACGTCATAAACACGTGACCTCCTCAGCCAATCCCATTCGAGCACTTTACTGAGCACGCGCAACAGAGTCCGGAAGCAGTCCGGGAATACTACAGCCCCCAGAATGCCTTGCGGTACTTCCGGTCTTAGACCTCACTAAACCGGAAGTGGAGCTCCGTGATCTTCGAGGGTGTTTCTGGCTCGGGAGATTCCAGAATTCCAGGGTTTTTTTCTGGATATTCCCTAATCCCTCCCGTCCCGTTCCCTTAGGGATGAGGTGAACAAGGCGTACCGGAAGCTGGCCGTGCTCCTGCATCCCGACAAATGCGTGGCTCCCGGCAGCGAGGACGCCTTCAAGGCCGTGGTGAACGCCCGGACCGCGCTCCTCAAGAACCTCAAGTAGGGGGAAGAAAAAAAAACTGGGAAAAAACATTCCAATATTCCCGCCCGGACCGCGCTCCTCAAGAACCTCTAGTAGGGAGAAGGAAGAAAAAAAAAAACCGGGAAAACATTCCCACCTTTTTCTCCCGGTGGGAGGGGAGGGAATGCCGCTGCCTCCTCTCCTTCCGGACAATCCCGTGGGATCGGGAATGCCGCTGCCTCCTCTCCTTCCGGACAATCCCGTGGGATCGGAGCCAGGCAGAGAGGAGGGATCGGGATTGGTGGGATGGGGTGGGAGAGGGATCCTGGAGCATCCCTGGATCCTGGCTCCGGGGGTGTAAACACTGGGATCAGGGACATTCCCACCTTCCCAGGTGTTAGGGATGGGATGGGAAGGAGCCACTTGGAGCAGGAACATTCCCACCTTCCTGGATGTTTGGGATGGGAATGCTGAGGATGCTCCAGGTGGGGTTGATGCAAACACTGGGAAGAGGGAAATTCCCAATTCCTGGATGTTTGGGATGGGATGGGAAGGACCCACTGGAAGCTGGAACATTCCCACCTTCCCAGATGTTTGGGATGGGATGGGAAGAGAAGATGGATCCCAGAGCATCCCTGTATCCCTGGCTCCAGGGGTGTAAACACTGGGAAGAGGGATCCTGGAGCATCCTTGGATCCTGGCTCCAGGTGTGTAAACACTGGGAAGAGGGAAATTCCCAATTCCTGGAAGTTTGGGATGAGCTGGGAAGCAACCACTGGGATCAGAGACATTCCCACCTTCCCAGATGTTTGGGATGTGCTGGGAAGGAGCCACTGGGATCAGGGACATTCCCACCTTCCCGGCCGTGTCATTCCCAACCATAACCTGGAATATTCCCCTTCCTGCATCCAGAGGGACGAGGAATCCCCGGGATTCCATTCCCGGGTTATCCCGGCCCTTGGGAGCGACACAGACCCCCCTGGGAATGTTCATTATCCCGGGAAAAGCCTCTTTGGGAACGTCATTCCCGCTTTTCCCGAGCCGGGATTGGGCTCCCATCCCTCTTGGAATGCGGATTTCCTGCCGATATTCGGGAATTTTTTCCCTCTTGGGCACCTTTTTCCCCTCAAAATCATGGATTAATCCCAGATTTTTTTGGGGAATGGGATCCTTTCGCTCGTCCTTTGGTTTCTGGGAAGAAGGAATAACTTTTCCAGCTGGGAAGAGCCTTTTCCCTCCTCTAGTTCGGGAATATCCCGAGGGAATTGTCGCTTCCCAAATTTTAACATCGACACAAATCCCGTTTTCCCTTGGAATTAACTCCCCTTTTCCCTCTCAAAATCATGGATTAATCCCAGATTTTCCTTGGGAATGGGATCCTTTCGCTCTTCCCTTGTTTTCTGGGAAGAAGGAATAACTGGGAAGAGCCTTTTCCCTCCTCTAGTTCGGGAATATCCCAAGGGAATTGTCGCTTCCCAAAGGTTCGGATCTACACAAATCCCATTTTCCATTGGAATTAACTCCCCTTTTCCCTCTCCCAGTTGGATAAAAGCACGGATTGGGATCCGCCAGGGCTTGGAATTCCGGTGGGATCTCCTTCCCGCCCAATTCCCTGGAAAACTCCCCCCCTTATCCTTAATTCTGGCTCCGGAATTCCCTTTTCCCTTCCCCCTTTTTCCCCCCGGAGGAAGGCGGATGATCCCGTTTTCCAGGTACTGCAATTCCCGGAATTCCGAGATTTCCCAGCCTTGGGAATGGTTTGGAGGCTTCTCCCGTTCCTGCTGCTTCTCCTGGGAATTTTGGGGGGGTTTCCTGGGAATTTTGGGGGGTTCTCCGGCCTTTTTCCCGGCTCGTTTGGAGCTGATCCCGCACTTTTCTCTTCCCGGGATTCCCGAGGGTGGGGGTGGATTTTCCTCCATTAAATCCCGTTGGGAATAACGGGAGAGCCCTGGGATGTGTCCGTGGTTTCATTCCCACTCCCGGGTTGGAGCTGGAAAAGGGGGAGGGGGAAATTCAGGAGCTGGGAAAGGGGTTGGAGCAGCCCCGGGGGTGGGAATGTGGGATCGGGAATTCCAGAGGCTTGGGATGGGATGGGAATGTGGGATCCAGGATTCCAGAGGATTGGGATGGGAATGTGGGATCTGGAATTCCAGAGGATTGGGATGGGATGGGAATGTGGGATCGGGAATTCCAGAGGCTTGAGATCAGGGATTCCATAGGCTTGGGATGGGAATGTGGGATCCGGGATTCCAGAGGCTTGGGATGGGATGGGAATGTGGGATCAGGGATTCCAGAGGCTTGGGATGGGACGGGAATGTGGCATCTGGAATTCCAGAGGCTTGAGATCAGGAATTCCAGAGGCTTGGGATGGGAATGTGGGATCCGGGATTCCAGAGGCTTGGGATGGATGGGAATGTGGTGGAGCCTGGATGGGATCTGGGATTCCAGAGGTTTGGGATCAGGAATTCCAGAGGCTTGGGATGGGAATGTGGGATCTGGAATTCCAGAGGCTTGGAATGGGAATGTGGGATGTGGGGGAGCTTGGATGGGATCAGGGAATCCAGAGGCTTGGGATGGGAATGTGGGATCAGGGAATCCAGAGGCTTGGGATGGGATGGGAATGTGAGATCGGGAATTCCAGAGGCTTGGGATGGGATGGGAATGTGGGATCCAGGATTCCAGGGGCTTGGGATGGGGTGGGAATGTGGGATCTGGAATTCCAGAGGCTTGGGATTATGGAATGTGGGGGAGCCTGGATGGGATCAGGAATTCCAGAGGCTTGGGATGGGAATGTGGGATCAGGAATTCCAGAGGCTTGGGATGGGAATGTGGGATCTGGAATTCCAGAGGCTTGGG